GGGTCGTAGGGAAGGATGGGAGGGGACGGGGGTCGTAGGGAAGGATGGGAGGGGAGGGGACGGGGGTCGTAGGGAGGGGACAGAGGACATTTCAGCTTTTCACACCATCGCTCAGATGAGCCGCACTTTCTAGTTTCCATCCTCCCGCTTGCCCCACATTTACTGGTCACATGACTGCAGCCGCCATCCTTGCAGGTCAGTCGGAGTGTTTGGCTGCATTTCAGAGAACGGGGCCTGTCATGGAATCACTTTATTATCCCGGACAATGTCTGTGGCCTTCTACACAGTATTATCATGTGTGTGTGTGTGTCATGTCAATGTTTTTTTTTATAAATAAAGATATTCTGCATTGTGTGTAGCTGATCATTGTGAGTCATTTTGACACGGACTGTCCTGCCGATGTTGTCGGTCTGGATGTAGAATCCACTTTTGATAAGCTCCGCCCACATCCTCACTGTGGTCAGGCGGAGTAGTCGGCTATAGAGCTGGAATAGTGTTGTGATTGCTCTGTGACTCGGAGCTGCTCGTCCAATCACCGCCCTGAGCTTTCACCAGTTAAAGCTGCACTGCAGGTAAGTTAATTTTCACCCAAACTTCGTGTCCCGGACCCATCTCAGACGCCTTCCCGGATCCCTCTCAGACGCCTTCCCGGATCCCTCTCAGACCCCTTCCCGGATCCCTCTCAGACGCCTTCCCGGATCCCTCTCAGACGCCTTCCCGGATCCCTCTCAGACGCCTTCCCGGATCCCTCTCAGACGCCTTCCCGGGCCCCTCTCAGACCCCTTCCCGGATCCCTCTCAGACCCCTTCCCGGATCCCTCTCAGACGCCTTCCCGGACCCCTCTCAGACCCCTTCCCGGACCCCTCTCAGATCCCTTCCCGGACCCCTCGCAAACTGCGTCCCGGAGCCCTCTCAAAACAAATTCAAACTTTATTCCACTTGCATCTATACAAAGCTATGACTAAGGCCGAGTAGGGCAGAAATGCGTCAGCGGTTGTTCTTTGTGTGGATGCAAGTGGAATAAAGTTTGAATTTCTGTGGTGTGATCTCCAATAGAAGTGCATCCAAGTGCGTGCACCCGGACCTGTCTGTATGTGTATGTTCAGGTTGGCATGTAGCCACGTGCAGATTCGTCCTCTCATAGGGGTGTACACGCAGCACCTGTCTGCACGAGCATGCACGCTGTACCCATGTGTGTGCCTCTGGAGTGTTGGGACTGCAGACCACACAAGAACCCCGCTGCCAGGAATCTGGCGGTAGCGAGGTCACATGACTGGTGGTTCCATACATCTTCCCTGTATGTACACTATATTGGGTCCCTCCCCCTCCAAATCATTGGATTCAGGTGTTCCGTGACATTTCCTGGCTACTAAATATTCCGCGGTCACCTCTTAGTGGGATTATAACAAAGCAGAAGCAACCGGGAACACCAGCAACTCAGCCAGGAAGTGGTCGGCCACGTAAAATGACAGAGCGGGGTCAGCGCATGCTGAAGCGCACAGTGCACAGAAGTCGTCAACTGTCTGCAGAGTCAATACCTACAGACCTCCAAACTCCATGCGGCCTTCAGATTGGCACAACAACAGTGCGTAGAGAGCTTCATGGATACGCACATGTTGTGCAATGCATATACACAATCTGGATGGGCCCTGAAGGTGACCACAGGTTTCAGAGGGCGATTACACACCAGACACGGGACCCCTGCCCTCAGGAGCCACAAACTTTATTTGTTATAACAGTCAGAAAATCTTATGGAAGTCACATTGGGATTGTTCAGAGAAGATATGAAATGTTCCTTCACATCGGAGCCGCGGGTCTCACGCGCTGCGGACATCTTAAGCCGGCCATCGCCTACACATACAGATTCCTCCATCCACGTTACACTGTGTGTTCGGAGGAATCTCCCGCTGGGCCAAGCTTCAGTATCGTGCCCCGCTGGCTGAACAATCTGATTGGTTGCCGGCACACAGTGTAGCGTAGATGGAGGAATCTGTCGCACTTTTTCCATCAGACCACAGAAAGTCTGCAGACAATCTATAGGTGTACGGCCAGCTTAGCGTGCGGGTATACAGTGGCGACCTCTAGGATTTCTGGGAGCGCGGCGTCGCGCACACATGAGTGAAAAACAGATTCTTGATCTTGTTCTGCTTCAGCGTTCTACAGTCCTGAGGCTCCGCCCCCGGCGCCCGCGTGATGTTGAATTTCTGGAGCAGAGCGCAGAAGAGGAGGAAGAGTTCCATGCGGGCCAAGTTCTCTCCGGCGCAAACACGTTTCCCTGCGGAGGAGAAATACAATTCTAATGGTGTTGGGGTCGGCCTGACTCACCCGGTGACAACAGACAGGAAGTGCGGGGAAATCTCTGACAACAGACACAGATAGAAAAAATTATCTGGACTTAACCCCTTCATGTCCAGGGCTGATAACAACTCTCACAGCCGTCCACTGATTGTCACTTTATTCTTCTTCTTTGGCAGCGGAAGACTTTGATTGATACATTGTTATAATAAATTCCGCTGATCCGGCTCTCTATTCTACTCTGCTTAGCGGAGGCGTCAGAGGAGATCAAAATGATCACCAGCTGGAAGATTCCATCACACTGCCATATGAAGAGACACTGACACCTCAATACTG